ATTATGACAAAGACAAAATCATCTTTTGCAACCTTCTCAGGTTCCCCACAACAAATGAATTTATTCTTTCAGCAGACATAAAGTTACCAGTAAGATTATAAATGGGCTTCCCAGGTGGCACTAGTGGTAAAAAACCCGCCTGCCAATGCAGAAGACGCGAGACACAGGTTTGATATTTCAGTCAGGAAGATCCCCTGGAGTAGGAAATGACAACCTGTTCCAGTATTCTTGCCTGGAGAATTCCATGGACAGAGGAGCCTGGTGGGCTACAGTCCATGGGGCCACAAAGAATCGGACACGGTTGAGTGATTGAACACAGAAGATTATAAATGACATTCTCTTGATTCTTCACAGTTTTTCTGTATCTTCCACTTTTCCTATAAGGAGTACATAGTACTTTTAGGATGAGGAAGAAAGGTTCTTAGTTGCTACTTTTATTTTTGTTTCTCAATGAAAAACCAGGGCTGTGTTTTTGGGGTAGGGGACCAGGCTCCCTTACAAAGGCTGGTCTAAGAATGTGTTGTGAGAGGAAAGGATTCACAGCTGCTGGGAATTGATACAACCAAGAATGTTGAATTGCAAACCTGGGAATGGGGATGACTGGCCAATAAGAAATATGTAAGTGACTACATGTGCCTAATCCTAACCTGGCTTGTGAGCTACAGCAGCTCTCATGTATTGCTAAAATTCTCAGATTAACAGACAGCACCCAGCACTTAGCAGACGCTCAGGAAATATTTGCCAGATAAATGACAGCCGTGCTAAGAGGGGACAGCAATTATAGCACCTCAAATCAGGGGAAATCAGAGTCACTTCCTGCCCGAGAAGTCAGAAGAGTGTCAGCTCTCTGAAACTGAACTGTTAGTCGCTCAGTCGTGTCCAGCTCTTTGTGACCCCATAGACTGCAGCCCGCCAGGCCCCTCTGTCCATGGGATTCTCCAGGCAAGAATACTGGAGTGGGTTGCCATTTCTTTCTCCAGTGGATCTTCCCAACCCAAGGTTTGAACCTAGGTGTCCTGCATTACAGGCAGATTCTTTCCTGCCTGAGCCACTAGGGAAACTAGAGTTGCTGAATATTAAGTTGGAGTCACAAAGAAGAAATACTGATGCACATGACTTAATCGTCAATAACTTAAAACAATGACAAGATCTCACTGTAATTTTTCTTATCACAAAAGCATTGCAGAGAAATAGAAAATGCAGATGAGAAGAAAAAATTTAAAACCACTGTTATAAGTATATACTCTTTCAGACAATCTTCTATACATATGGATAATTCATATACATGTATATTTTCTTTTGTAAAAAGTGGAAGAACACTTTCTGGTAATTTTTTGTTATGTCACAAGAGATATTTCTCTTTTACGTTATTTTTAATGACAATACAGCCCAATGCCGGATGGATGCACAATCATTTATTCACCCACATCCTAGTTGGACATTAAGGATGAATCTTTGTTTTTTTTTCCTTTGAGAAATGATGCTGCCCCTTTGTGATCGAATACTTAATAAATTAAAGTGATGTCTTTGACTATAGGCAACTTGCTCTTAGTTACTTTTCCTGAAACAGCAATGACTGACATCACTGGGGAAAAAGAGGAGTTTGTGTTTACCCAGTGCAGTGATAACTGACCCAGAGGAAGGAACAAAACCCAGATGGGCTCTAACTGGTTAGTGCCTCTGTTCTAATCATCTGTCTTCCTGGGGCCTGGGCAACAGCAGATCAGAAAATCAGATTCATGTTTTGAAGTTAAAAGGAACTTAAGAAATCATTTTTGTCATATCCTTAATTGATTCTTAGGTTTTATGGAGAGATGAAAGCATTTTTGCCCAGGACTAGAACTTAGATTTTCTCAACTCAGAAAGCTGCTAGTTTTCTGTAATCTCACAGCGGCTTGACACTTTCATAATTAAAGACCCTGAATAAGTAGAACTTTGGGTCTCAAGGTTGACAATAGCAGGAGCAGACGGCCCATGTTTAAGCTCAAGTGCAAGAAAACCAACTATGTATAACTTTCAAAGGGATGATCCCAACTGGTTCTACAACCTTTAGCTAGGATACCCCATCCAAACTTGAAAACAGTATGCTAAGTGAACGAAGCCAGACACAAAGGCCACATCTTGTATGATTCCATTTATGCGAAATGTTCAGAATAGGCAAATCCATGGTGACAGAAAGTAAATTAGTGGTTGCCAGGGGCTGGGAGGAGGGAAATGGGAGTGACCGCTTACTGGGTTCAGGGATTCCTTTCGGGAGTAATGGAATTATTCTAGAATTAGACACTGTTAAACACACAACAGTATATTTTCGAATGGTCAAAATGATAAATTTTGCTTATGCAAATTTTATCTCAACTAAATGAAAAACAACATTAACAACAACAAAAATTCTATCCAGTCCATGTCAGTGAAGACAGGCGATAGAACAGATGGGGGTCGGGGGGTACTGGTGGTTCAGTGGTTGGGACTCTGTGCTTTCACTGCAAGGGGCATGGGTTGATCCCTGGTTGGGGAAATAAGGTCCTGCATGCTTTGCAACCTGTCCCCACCTCAGCCCCCACCCCCACTCCCCAAATAAAGGGAGGAGCAAATGGGTAAGTGGTGATTGCTTAAATAGTTGCCCCACTGTGGGCTTTCCCTGGGGAAGGCATGTGGGTACTTGCTGCATGTTCCATCCCCACTCCCTGCCCGATTACTAGCTTAGGGAGATCCAAAGAACCCAGCCAACCCAGCCACAAGGTGACCCATGCCACCTGGAGTTCAGAGCACAGGGGTTGGAGCTCGAATCTGCATACAGCCAGAAGCACAGTATTAGGTTCAAGATCTGGTTCAATTACAAATCTTGGAGAATTTACAAAAACCAACTGGAGCAGGCCAAAAGGTTGTGGAGCGGAGTGCACTTGCAGAGCTGGTGGGCAACGTTCTGTGTTTTCTGTGACCTAAGCTGCAGTCATGTTGCAAAATCCCTACCAAGAGGGCTGTCCCTAGAGTGTTCTTTCAGCAGAAAGCTGCCACTTGCTACAATCAGGCCCCTGCAGAGCTAGATACTCTTGTGAGCTGTCCCTGAAAACCACTCAAAAGTCCTCTCAGGTTAAAAAGAAAAAGAGCAACTCTATTATTATTATTTTAATTTTTAGGCCACACCAGGCAGCATATGGGACCTTAGTTCCCTGACCCAGCGATCAAACCCACACCCCCTGGATTGGAAGACAGAGTCTTAACCACGTCATCACCAGGGAAGTAAAAAAAGAGGCAACTTTAGCTTAGTGTCCCAACTATACCTGATCACAGGATGTGTGCTGGAATTAAATGAGATACAGAATGTGAAAGCCCCTATTAGCATATAAAGTTCTATCAAAGTGTTCATGATTAGTAAAAATGACTCCAAATTATCAAATTAGCCCTATAACAACTTTTTTGTCTCCTAGCTCTAATTCCATAAGTCTTTGATTACAACCTGAGAAATTCTAGAAATCACAGGGCTAGAAGACCCCTGAGATTTCATTTACTCAAATCCCTGCCCCCAGGCAGGAGTTACTTCCAACCCCAGCCAAAGGACCACACAGGCTAGATTCAGAATCCCATCAAATGTCAACCCACTTTCTCCTATCCTGGAGTCATTACTGGTCAAAAAAAACAAACAAAAAAAAAACCAACAAAAAACAAAACTGATAGATTGTGCCATGTAGAAAAGACCAGAGAAATATCTATCTGTCCTATTTTAAACTCCTGAGAAGGCAACTCAACCATCTGTCTTGGCAACCCATTCTAAGCTGGAACCACCCTGTCAAAAACATCTCTTTTGGTTTAATCTAAATACTTCAAATGGAGCCTCAAGCTAATTTTGTCCCATTCCATTTTCAAATAATTTGGAACACAGTTGTTTATCATCTGAGTTATAGGATTATACAATATCACAGGGTTTTGATGAGCAATAAATAATGCATATAAAACACAGAGCTCATATCTGACACATAGTAATAGCTCAATACATATTTGTTTATTATTACTATCACATATACTAGGATTCTTGTTTCAAGTGACATGAAACGCAACTCAAAATAATTGAGGAAGAAGAAGAGGAAGAAGAAGAAAGGAAAAAGAAAAAGGGATGTGGGTGTAGAATGTAATTAGAAGGGAAATAAAATTGTTCAGTGGCCTTCAGGCACTACTGGATCCAGGACTCAAATAATGTTCACAGGACTCCTCTTTCCCTCTCTTTACAAGCATCTGAAATATAGACAGCAGGAGGGCAATGAGTAGATTCACACTGCCTAGGATAGGTTCCTCATTCACCAGTTAATTCATCAAAAATTCCTTCAAAGACAAGTAAGTGGCAAGCACAGTTCTAGAAACTAAGAACAGAGCAGTGTTCAAGATAAAACATTTCACCCTTGTGGAATATACCTTCTAGTGGAAAGGGTGGATCTGGTAGAAGAAGGGATTCCAGAAAGATAAAATGTTATCCTCCACAAAGGAAGTTCCCACCTTATACCATCATTAAGATCAACTGTTGGCTTTCTCTCACCAAGTCAAGTAAACCATCCTTTTCAAAATTTTTTCCTCTTGGTAAGTGTGCAGAATCCCCCAAATCAGGTCTTCAAATGGGTAAATAAACTTGCCTGGGGATTCTGAGTGCATTTAGTTAATTTAGGCTCTGTAATCTTTGCACAAAGTTTCTAAGATGTGCCTGCAGCCCTAATAACATAACATTCTGCTTCCATTTTCAAAAGCTACTTTTCTTTTTAGACCATTTTTGTTTGAAATACAGGTCTTTCTCCCATCTTCATTTTTTTTCCCCTTTGAATAGGATGTTATTTAGTAAAATACTGCAAAAGCCTGGTCATCTATTAGTCGTTTAAAAAGTGTTCCTCTGGGTAATTTTAATCTATTTCTCTGTGTTAATCATTCTAACTGTAAAAATGAAGCCCTGGACACTAAGGTTTTTTTGAGAACCCAAAGAAATGTGGCCTAAACTTTAGAAAATCTCAACCTCCGCCTTTCCCCTGGGAACTTGCAGTAAGAAATGTTTCCTGAAGCATTTCAGACTGTATTATGATAAACTTCAACTTTTCAGAAAACCAAAACCATCTGAATCAAGCTGCTCTCACCTGAAAAACCTCAATTTACCAGGGCTATTTCAGATTCATTCCACAAACAGCCTAGCTGAATTAGTGATGCACACAATTCTATTTACGTTTGATGCTGGCCTAACAGATCTGTGCCACCACGTGAATCCATTCATTGACAATGTAGAGATCAACGCGCAGTAAACTCAAGGTGACTCAAGTGTGTGTGTAGCGGGGCCAGGAGTTGGTCGTCTACGTCATTGCTTCTATAAGTACTATTACAAGTTATGTGCCCTGCCCCTAACTGTTTTTTTCTAATGGTGCGTTTCAATGTCCCTGTCCCTTCTGCTTGGGTTAGTATCTCTTGTCAGGGCAGTAATTTAGTTCTTTAAATCCGGATATAATGTATAAATGGGTCATTTGGCTCAGTTAAACCCCATCATTAAAATTGATCTCCGAATTAAACAAAAATGGATTTTTAATCGAAAAGCTCATCAGCTCCACCCCCTATCCTCTCACTTTGCCCGGCCTTGTCCACCTGGTCTCGCACCTTTCCTAGATTGCCTCTTGGGAAAGGATGAAGAACCTCGGCAGACACCCCTCTCAGGATCAGTCGTCCGGCGCGAACACATTTTGGAAAAAACAGAAAACAAAAAACGGCTGGCTTTGGGTTTTTTTTTTTTTTTTTTTGCTTTTAAGCTTAATATTCTTATCTTTGCCTTCCAGGCGGAAGGTCAGCTCCAACCCTTCTTTCCTGCGCTTCTCCTTCGCAAATGGGGCACGATCCCTGATGCTTCCTCCCAAGTTAGGAAAGGGACAGAACTTCCCCAGGAGGTGCGCAGCGTCTCCGCGGCGCTTTCGTGGTTCCGTCCCCCCAGCAGGAGACCCTCGTGAAGAAACTTTTAAGGAAAGAAGATGTAAATGAGATAACAGCTTTTAGATAAATTCTATTAAGAGTAATTATGTTTTAATCTCTAGTTTTTGGTAAACTGAATGGCTAAGGTTGTGCAATATTAACTGACAGAAGTTTACTGAAAGATTAATTGCTGATCACTGGCTTCCTCATACAGGGAAATTAAAGGTATTTTGGATTCTTAATGAATATGTTTGGTGCCATCCTAAGATGTTCACTGTAAGAAGGCAAATCCTTCTAGAATTATCATTAGTATTTATGTTCACAATCTATAGAATGCTAATGCAAAGGTCACTTCATGGATACTTAAGGAAAAGAGGATGTGTATTTTCAGTTAACGTAGGCATGAGGAATGGAATTAAATTTTATTAAGGGAAAAGGAAGTAGGTCTGACTTAATGGGTGACTGTTTATTGACAGGAAAATTAAGTGATGACTAGAGAAAGTTTTGTGGAAAACGAACCACAAAAAAAGAATTTTGTGCATGGTACAAGTTTCCTAAGTGATCTGCTCTGTATTTGCCTTCAAAATCTTTTACTGCTACTTTTGCTAAGTGAATAACTATGGATTCAGAGTGACTTAAGATCCTATCTGACTGAGTGTTCTAAATGCTTTTGATATTCTTTGACAAAACTTTCTAAATCAAATTCTAATGAAGTCTTTTTAACCTCTAGCTAACTTTAAGATGCTTCAAAAGGCCCCTGAAACATTCCAAAGAGAGAGATAAACTAGATTCATTTGATAGGTTAAATTACAAGAGAAGTTCATGACATTGTACAGGAGGCAGTGACCAAGTCCATCCCCAGGAAAAAGAAATGCAAAAAGGCAAAATGGTTGGCTGAGGAGGCCTTACAAATAGCGGAGAAAAGAAGAGAGGCTAAAGACAAAGGAGAAAAAGAAAGATATACCCATCTGAATGCAGAGTTCCAAAGAATAGCCAGGAGAGAGAAGAAAGCCTTCCTCATGATCAATGCAAAGAAATAGAGGAAAACAATAAAATAGGAAAGACTAGAGATGTCTTCAAGAAAATTAGAGATACCAAGGCAACATTTCATGCAAAGATGGGCACAATAAAGGACAGAAACAGTAGGGACCTAACAGAAGCAGAAGATATTAAGAAGAGGTGGCGAGAATACACAGAAGAACTATATAAAAAAATGTCTTCCTGACCCAGATAACCATGATGGTGTGATCACTCACCTAGAGCCAGACATCCTGGAGTGAGAAGTCAAGTGGGCCTTAAGAAGCATCACTGTGAACAAAGCTAGTGGAGGTGATGGAATTCCAGTCGAGCTATTTCAAATCCTAAAAGATGATGCTGTGAAAGTGCTGCACTCAATATGACAGCAAATTTGGAAAACTCAGCACTGGCCACAGGACTCATAAAGGTCAGTTTTCATTCCAATCCCAAAGAAAGGCAGTGCCAAAGAATGTTCAAACTATTGCACAATTGCATTCATTTCACACACTAGCAAAGTAATGCTCAAAATCCTCCACACTAGGCTTCAACAGTACATGAACCAAGAACTTCCACATGTTCAAGCTGGATTTAGAAAAGGCAGAGGAACCAGAGATCAAACTGCCAATATCTGTTGGATCATAGAAAAAGCAAGAGAGTTTCAGAAAAATATCTACTTCTGCTTTATTTACAACGCCAAAGCCTTTGATTGTGTGGATCACAATAAACTGTGGAAAATTCTGAAATAGATGGGAATACCAGACCACCTGACCTGCCTCCTGAGAAATCTGTATGCAGGTCAAGAAGCAACAGTTAGAACCAGACATGGAACGACAGANGGAAATCAACCCTGAATATTCATTGGAAGGACTGATGCTGAAGCTGAAGCTCCAGTACTTTGGCCACCTGATGCAAAGAGCCAACTCATTGGAAAAGACCCTGATGCTGGGAAAGATTGAGGGCAGGAGGAGAAGGGGGCAACAGAGGATGAGATGGTTGGATGGCATCACCGACTTGATGGACATGAGTTTAAACAAGCTCTGGGAGTTGGTGATGGACAGGGAAGCCCTGAGTGCTGCAGTCCATGGGGTTGCAAAGAGTTGGACATGACTGAGCGACTGAACTGAACATTAGAAAACTAGACTGGGTGCCTTATGAACAATGCCTATATATTATTACCCTTACAGAAAGCGACTGGTATGGGACTGACTGTATCAGATGACCAGAGATTCACTGGGTTGTACCTAATGGGACTTCAGTGGATTTGTGGTACTAATGTATGGCCTTGGCTTCCAGTGAGACACACAGGAAAGTGTACCCTCAGATTTTCATGGACTCAAGGTCATATATATAACAATTTAGGGATGATTCTAGCCAATCTACCATTGGTATGAGCCCAATGGGTCAAGAGCTCTGTATTCTACCAATATGACCATGTAGCAGCCATTTTGCACCTTCAATAGGGTTGAAGAATGTAATTGGTCATATTGAAGTCTTAAATTTTACTCAACAAGCTTTAAATAATAGTAACAAGGCTATCAGCCTACTGAATTCTGAGGTCTCTATGATGAGCAAAGCAGTACTATAAAACAGCATGGCCGTTGTCATCCTTATAGCATCTCAGGGAGATACTAGTGCCATAATTCAAACTGAATGCTGTGTTTTTATACCTGATGAATCCTCTACTATAACATGTTTAACAAACCATATAAAAAAATCAGATTTCTGCCTTAAGTGACCTACTGTCTAGTTTTGATGACCTCTTCAAAAACTGGTTTAGCGTGAGAAGCTCTTGACTTAAGTATTTAGTTATAACTCTACTGTTATTCACTGTATTGTTTGTATTTTGCCTTTTCTACAAGATCATTGTTTCCTGTATTACAAAATGGGTAAGTGAACCTCCAAAAATGATGATGACAAGGCAACTTGAAGCAGTAGATCAAATATATATTTCAGTGTGTGACCAATGATTATAATAATATAATTCTAAATATGGGAAGAAACAAGAGGAAATCTTTCCTGGATTACAACAGATTAAGACAGGTTGGTCCAGAAGCCACTTTGATTACTGATGATAAGACCTAATCCAGTAATAGCACACTGAGTGGCCTGTGAAATCTTTGCCAGAGCTAGGAATGAGCCTTCCTAGCACCACTGTATGAAATGGTCATGAAATGCCTCCCAAGTATGGCCTAACTTATGATCACGAGAAGGTCCTGTCAACTACAGTTTGGCACCTGCCATGGGTGCTTGCCGTCTGCCGCTACAGGGATTAAACCATGTGCGGCTGCAGTGGCTGAGCTTTAACAACCCATGAAGGAATTCAGAGTGGATAGCAAAAATGAGGCACTCTGTGTTCAGGGAAAAACTGGCAGGATAAGTCGTCAGATAGTTAAGAAATTCTTGGTAGCTGATTTTGTGAGCCCAATTCTTATATCTTCTTGTATCTAGAGAAGCATTAAAATCCTTTCTGGTGACATCTATTTCTCGTGACTAGAAGAAACCTTCTGGAAAAATATGTGCTTGTGCTTGACTGCATGCTGTTTCCTTTAATCAGTATCACATATATAGTGTCCTTCCCCCCTATCTGTGTGGAACAGCTTCTTAGCTATACAAGGTGGTATCTCCCAGGCTGAAGTCCTCATCTTAGCTCAAATAAAACTTAGCTTGCAACTCTCATGGTGTGCATTTTTTAAAAGTCAACAGTATGGAAACACAAAAGACCCCAAATAGCCAAAGAAATCTTGAGGAAGAAAAACATAGCTAGAGGAATCAGGCTGTCTTACTTTAGATTATACTATTTTAACAGAAAGCTACAGTAATCAACACAGTATGGTACTGGCACAAAATCAGAAGTACAGACCAACTGAACAGGAAAGAAAGTCCAGAAATAAGCCCACAGAACTATGGTAACCTAATCTATGACAAAGGAGCAAGAACAAACAGTGGAGAAAACACCATCTCTTCAATAAGTGCTGCTGGGAAAACTGAAGAGCTACATGTAAGAGAGTGAAATTAGAACATTCTTGTAAAAGAGTGAAATTAGAACATTCTGTATCTCTAACACCATATACAAAAATAAAGTAAAAATGGATTAAAGACCTAAATGTAAGGCTTATACTATAAAATTCTCAGAGGAAAACAGGGGGAGAACACCATGACATAAATTGTAGTAAGCTCTTTTTTTTAATTCACCTCCTGGTGTAATGAAAATAAAAAAAGTAAATGGGACCTAATTAAACTTAAAAGCTTTTGCACAGCAAAGGAAACCATATTTAAAATGAAAGACAATGCTTAAAGTGGGAGAAAATATTTGGAAACAAAATGACCAACAGGGATTAATCTCCAAAATATACAAATAACTCATGTACCTCTACACCAAAAAACCAAACAGCCCAATCAAAAAATGGGCTGAAGATCTAAATATACATTTCTCCAAAGAATACATATGGCCAAGAACCACATGAAAAAACGCTCAATATCACAAATTATTAGAGAAATGCAAATAAGAACTATAATAAAGTATCACTTCACACCAGTCAGAATGGCCAAACAATCTACAAACAATAAATGCTGGATAGAAAAGGAAACTCTCCTACATTGCTGGTGGGAATGTAAGCTGGTACAACCACTATGGAAAACAGTCTGGAGGGTCCTTAAAAAACTAAAAACTGAGCTACCATATGATCTAATGATCCCACTCCTGTGCATATATCCAGAGAAAACCATAAGCCAAAAAGATAAATGCACCCCAGTGTTCACTGCAGCATTTTACAATAGCCAGGAAACAGAAGAAACATAAATGTACATCAATGGATAAATATGACACGGTGTATGTGTATATATATATATACACACACACAATGGATTATTACTCAGCCATAAAAATCAATGAAACAATGCCATTTGCATCAACCTGGATTGACCTAACTGTCATACTGAATGAAGTAGGTCAGACAAACATATGATATGACTTATATGTGAAATCTAAAAAAACACAGTACAAATGAAACTATTCACAAAAGAATA